TTCATTTTAATTGATGAAAGAAACATGGATTCATCAAGTTGGAAACGCAAATAAACACTGTTTGGGGCAAAAAAAAAAAAAAAAAAGAATTTAAATTTAAAAAAATGTTTACATGTGTACCACTGCCTCTAACTTCATATCTTCTCCCTCCATTTCCACGGGAAAGGCAGCGTGAAAGGAAGCTTTTCCCCGGGAGCTGCTCCAGGCGGGGCACCTGCAGCCACTCCCAGGACCAGCAGGCCGGCCCCGGACCCTTCCGTCACACTCCACCCGATGGACCCAGATCTCCAGACAGACCTCATTTCCCTGCCTGACACTTCTCGTCCCCAGTGCCCAGCCTGGAGCAGCCCAGGCCCCCAGGTGCTGAGCTGGAACTGCCAGGTTTGTCAGTGTGGGGCCCATAGACCCTGACCGTGGCCACACTGGGGAGAACTCACACCCCAGTCCGGATGGGGAAGGAACTTCCACTCCACCCTCCAGTGGGAAACCACGGGAGAAACATCCAGGTCTTCTCTGATGGGTGCGCTTGGCACAAAAAATCAAGGGTGCCCAGGTGAGTCCTCTTTTCTCTCTCCTGGCTCTGCCCACCACAGAGCAGGCACGCCGCTGAGGGGGCAGCTGGTGAGCCCATGAAGCCCTCCTACCCAGCTCAGATCAGAAGTAACGCTCATCTTGTGGTTGGTGCCCGTGATCACCCTCAGTCTGCCACCTGCACCTTTCAAGTGGTTCAGACTCAAAAGGCAGGAAAAGGAGCCCCTAAAACCTAAGCCACCTGTGAGGCCCCATCTACCTCACCCCTTCACAGCCTATTGCTCGCCCCTTGTTCCCCCAACCACACGGACCTTCCTCCAGTTCCTGGAAAATGCCAAGTTCACCCCCAGCTCAGCATCTTTGCCTTTTTCATCCTCCTCAGTGCTTCCCAGGGCTGGTTCCTCCTCACCTCTCAGGTCTTGGCTCAGAGGCCCACTCTACGAAACATACGCCTCCATCTTATCACCCTGGTGTATAGTCTGGGTTTCTGAAACTGTGATGTGCTCACCTGTTACCACCCTGTCCCTTCAGGTCTTATCCGTTTGGTTCACTGCTGTGACCTAGGACTTAGGACAATGCCTGCACAATCGCACAGGCAGAAATGTGTGTTGAATAAACTGTTTTGGGGACAAGGGAAAATGAATATTTATTTTGCTTTGGGGGGTTTTTTAATCCTCACCCAAGGATATTTTTCCATTGATTTTCAGAAAGAATGGAAGAGAGAGAGAAAGACAGAGAGAAATATCAATGTGAGAGAAGCACATTGATTGGTTGCCTCCTGCACACACACCAACCAAGGCCTGGGCTGGGGAGGAGCCTGCAACCAAGGTCTGTGCTCTTGACCGGAATTGAACCTGGGCCCCTTTGGTCCGCAAGAGTGGGGGGGCAGAGGAGCCTGTAACCGAGGTTCTTGGCCTGGATCGAATCCGGGACCCTTCATCCACAGGTCAACGCTCTAGCCACTGAGCCAAACCAGCTAGGGCAAGTGTTTTTCTTTAATAGCAAAATATAGATTACGAAAAACTTGAAAATACAAAAAAATAGTTTAGAACCTTCATTAACATTTTGATCACAAAAGACGAGTCTCGCCTGCACTTCCCGTGTCTTCTCCGTGCATGTAGGTATAATCAGTGGTGTGGGGTGCACACGCAGACCGGCCTTCCAGGCTTCCTAAGGGCCCTGGCTCCTAACCACACTCCTGTGCGCCCACCCTGTTTCTGAGGACTGCCCTGAGAATGCCCCTCCACGGAAGACCCCTGGGGCTCAGTACAGTGTAAGGCTTTACAGCGTAAGCATGAGGTAACGATGGTCTTCCCATTTCCAGATGTGGGAACCAGACTGGCTGATGTCAGAAGCCACACTGACAATTCCAATGGTCTGGCAGTGCAAGGCCTCGCTTCTCTCTACCTTTGGTCTTCAGGCCGTCTGGCCTAATTCCCTGCCCTCTGCAAGGTGCTTGCTCACTGATGAAAACTGAGACGGGTCTCAGAGCCAGGTGGAGTCATACCCACCAGTCCGTAGACTCTTTGGGGCCGGCCCTGAGGATGACCAGACAGCGGGGCAGGCCCTGACACAGGATCCTCTCCGCCTCCTGACCCTCCCATCCCAACCCCTGCAGCTCAAGGACCCTAAGCCTGGGCATGGTGCGGCAGGATGAGAGTATTTCAGCCGGGGAGAGCGTTTCCAGGGCGATGTGCGGGGCCTGCAGGCACAGGCTCTCCAGCGCCGGCATTCCCTCCAGCACAGACAGGCCGGCGGCTGAGAGGCCGGTGGCCGTGAGCCGGACCTTCCGCACATCCCGGAGGTGGTGGCTGATGGCCAGGAGGGTGCTGTCGGCCGAGAGGGCACAGCCCAGCACCTCCAGCCTCCGCAGGGAGCTCAGCTCCTTCAGGCTCGCATCCAGCCCGGCCTCAGTCACCCGGTAGGCACCGCCCAGCACCAGGGAGCGCAGGGCGCGGAAGCATGTCAGGCCCCGTAGGTGCTCGTCCCGAAAGGCAGGGACGCGGTCCAGCACCAGGGACTCGAGCAGGGGCAGCACAGGGGGGTCCCGCCCCTTGAGGAGCCAGGCCATGGGAATCTCACAGCTGTGCAGCTCCAGCGTCCTCAGGGTGCAAGGCAGGCTGGTGACGGGCACCAAGCTCAGGTCAGCCCCGTGCAGGCAGAGACGCTGGAGGTTGGGGCACTTCTGGCCCAGGGCCCTCATCAGGGCTGGGGACAACTGGGGAGCCTGGGAGCCTGTGGACAGGTAGCCACACAGCCGCAGGGAATGGAGTCTGGATGCCATGTACCGGCGAAGGAGGTGCCACATGACTTTAGGCCGCATCTGTAAGAGCCAAAGATAGGGGTGAGGAAGTGAGAGATACAGGGGATCGGTCAAGGTCCCCGCCTGCCTGGAGTCAGACAAGCCCCAGCTGGGGTTCTCCTGCTCCCATAGAATTGTCCTTCCACCACCAGCCTCACCTCACCAGACACCCCTCCGGGGGGAACAAAACAGTTTAACTCCACCACTTTGACTCCCAGAATTGAACAAAAGCAGTGAAGGAAAGAGAAGATCATAACACATCTGTCTTTAGCAACAGAGTGGATTCTCATTAGGTTCTGGAGCAAGTAAAACAGCAAAGCACCCTCCCGGATTTGTATCCCTTTTTTAATGACCATGGAAAGAAGTCAGCAATGTAAAATAAAACTGAAAAGGGCTCAAACTGCCTAGGTTTTAAAAAAACAAAACAAAACGCCATAGCCTGATAATAGCGAAAGCTGTCAAAAATTTATCCCAGGAAGTTACACTTAGTAGAAAACAAATCGATAGATAGGGGCCGGATCAGGCTGGTTGGCTGCTGCAGTGCGTGTCATAGCCACCCCTCATTCTGCTGTTCTGGTCGCTGGGCTTTTATTTATATAGATCTCTCTCTCTCTCTCTCTCTCTCAAATCAATCTTTAAAAAAATAGTGTGTGAATAAAGCTCATTGTGGGTGGATATAAGTAAAATAGCATTTAATTATCTAAAGAGTAGCAATAGCATTATCTAAACTTTAGAAACACATTAACAATACCGTATGTTGCTAATGGGCACACACACATAGGAGATGAATAAAAACGCCAAAGGAAGGCTACGATGCCATTTTAGAATAGTGGTTACCTCCGAAGGGGTTTCAAAAAGTGCAGGAAACATATCAATAAAAGTTGTGTGTGTGTGTGTGTGTGTACATATATATATATGTGTGTGTGTTAATTCCTTTTGCAATAGGTGTGCTTAGGGCAGTGGATATATATATATATATATATATTTCACATGATTGGTAGTAAATAGGGCCAAAGCCTAAAACAGGTTAAATCTAGGTGGTGAATACCTATTTATCTGAAACCATGTTATCCTCTACACATTTCTATATATTTGAAATAGTTCATAATAAAAACAAGAAAAGTAAAATGCAAATGACAGAAAGTGGAAATAGTTCGTTTGCACTACTCGGGAAGTTAATTCTGTTGACTGTGGAAAATGATTTCCCCGTGAAGACTCGGTAATAATAATCCTAAGTGATCTGACCGCCAGCCAGCATTGATCGTACGCCAACTGACACTCCAACACTGAGCCCATCCCCGCGCTGTCCGGCTATTTACATTTCGGAGAGGGGGGAACAGGCCGGAGGGCGCAGAGGAGTGGGGTGCGCCCCGGGCGTCTCGGCTGAACCGGCCCAGGCTCTCCCGGCCTGCGCACTCACCCTGCAGACGGTCAGGTCGACGTGCCGCCACAGCCACCGGTCGCCCACCAGCCTCTT